AAGAAAGAAAGAAAGAAAGAAAGAAAGGCATTCAGCCAAGCCCCCATGAGTGGAGAGTCCCGAGAAACTCCAATAAAAGCAGCTGTGGCCTCCATGTGCCTGGGGAGCACCGCCACCCACCCCTGGAACAACTCCCCAGGTGTTGGGACAGTATAGGGCAGTGGTGGTGAAACTTTTAGAGCTTTCAATGATAACAAACAGCCAGCTGCAGTATGCAAGCCATAGGTTTGTCACCACTGGTCTACGGGGACTGTCCTAGGGAAAGGCTGCTTGGTGTGGGCAGGCAGGAGGAGGTAGGGGAAGGGCCTGATGGCCAGCAGCTCTGTTCCCTGGGAAATTCCTCCAGAGCCAGGCCATGTTCGAGAGCAGCCCTCTGCCTTCCATTCCCCCAGGAGCCCACCCCACCCCACTAAGCAGGCCACTGGGTGGTCTGGGCACATGTGGTCACATTTAGATGTTGATTGAAGCAAAATTGTTATAAGATTAGAATAGTTAAGGTAACTTTAATTTCCACTGCATTACTGGGATTTTTGAAGACCGAGCAGCACGATCCCCTGGGGTGGAAGAGGATTGGTGGGGCTCATTTTTCCAGCTTTGAAGGGGAGGCTGCTGGCAAATGCAAAGCAGGAAGGAGGGTGAGACAGAGGGAAGGACTTCCAGGAAGCACAGAAGCAGAGTCCAGTCCTCTGGCAGGTGTGAGGAGTCTGGGGCTGCGCCTGAGAGCAGGAATTTACTAGCACCACACCCCCTCCCCAGACTATTTGCATGCCTGGGCTGCACATCTGTGCAAATCTTCCTCCCCTCAGCCTGCCAGATAGCCAGCTCCTCCCCACACTCCAGCATGGTGGCAGCACCTGAAGCTTTTCATATCTTTTTTTTTTTTTTTTTTGTCTTTTTGAGACAGGGTCTTGCTATGCAGTTCAGGCTGAACTTGAGCTTATTTTGTAGCACAGGCTGGCCTCGAACTTGCAAGGATCCTCCTGCCTCAGCCTCCCTCGAGTGCTGGGATTACAGTCATGCACCATCACACCCGGCCAAAGCTTCTCATATCTGTTGAGCAAGACAGAAATTTAGAAGGAATGGAAGAATAATGTAAAAATAATGATTATTAGCAACTGTTATTATTAATGATTATTGTTTGGTTGTTATTGAGCCACCGTACCTGCAAAATATCCCCCCCCTACCAGGAATTGAACTCATGACCTTGTGTTTGCCAGGCAGGTGCTTTGCCACTGAGCTAAATCCCCAGCCCTTTTTTTGTCTTTTTAAGACAAGGTTTCACTATGCAGTTCAGGCTGGCCATGAACTCACTTTGTAGCCCAGGCTGGCCTTGAACTTATTATGGTGATCATCCTGCCTCAGTCTCCTGAGTGCTTTAAAAACAAAACAAAACACTTATTTCTGGGCTGGGGATATAGTTCAGTGGCATAAGTGCCTGCCTGGCAAGCGCAAGGTCCTGAGTTTGATTCCCGGTACCAAACAAACAAACAAAAAATCCACTTATTTCTCAGAGTTATGGAGGTTGGAAGCCTGAGAACAGAGTGCCTACATGATTGAGCTCCTGGCGAGGACCCTCTTGCTGGTTTCCAGATGGCCCTCTTCCCCTTGTACCCTCACATGGTAAACAGAGTTCACTGTCTGTTCTAAGGGGACAGTGCCAAAGGGGGAGACTTGGGCAGAGAGCCCAGCTGGAATTAAATCCCAGATCACTTACTTCCCAGCTGTGTGACTATTCATAAGTCAGTTAACCTCTGTGCCTTAGTTTTTCCTTCTATAAAGCAGGGACAATAATAATACTAATTTATTTTTATGAGACTGATGTGCTGCCTACTGTGTTAAGGAGGCAGGTCTTTTTTATCTTTATTTTTGGTAGTGCTGACAATGGGATTCAGGGCCTTGTACATGCTAGACAAGTGCCCTACTGCAGAGCTACACCCCCAGCCCTTTTTAGTTTGAGACAGGGTCTTGCTATGTTGCCCAGGCTGAGCTCAAACTTGTCATCCTCCTGCCTCAGCCTCCTGAGTAGCTAGGATTATAGCTATATATCACCAAATCATACCAATCTAAAAGATTAAATGAGTTAATCCAGGCAGAGTGCTTAACTAGTGCCTGGCATGGTTAGGAGTACTGAGTGTTAGCTGTTGTCCTCAGGGATTGTTGCTGCTATTATCCCCTTTACAGAGGAGGAGTGGGAAGCCTGGAGAAGTGAAGTCACCTGCCCATGGTCAGAGGTCAGAGAGAGGCAGCGTGGGGCTGCATACCCAGGTCTGCTCGCCTCCTCCCCCTTCCCGGACCCCTGGGCAGTGACAGCAGTGGTCCTCCTAGGAGCCGTGCTACAAAATTACCTTGTTTGGTTCAGTTTAACCACCTACCTGTTTAATCTCCCTGCTCAGGCCTAGAACAGCCCTTGAATTCTCATTGTCCAATTTCTGAGTCTCGGGGCTGAGTGAACTAAAGCTCGGAGAGGGGCAGCGATTTGCCCGAGGCCATATAGCTGGTGACCACAGGCAGAGTCGCCCCACTGATATCCAGACTCCCCAGGAGATAGCCCTGCTGTGACACTGAGGCCTTGTCTCCTTGTCTACCAGCTATTTGCTATGTGAAGGAGTGTCCTTGAGCAGGAAAGGAGTGTCCTTGAGCCAGAGATTATGGAGTGTTTCACCAAGGCTCACTCCTGCGCAAGGCCAGGACAAACTCCCAGCCTGGCTGTCCACCCCACCACCAGGGGCTTCCACCTTTGGTCTGTCCCTGCTTAGCTCCTGAGGCTCAGCTGGGGCGGGGTTGCCCCTCACAGCCCGTGAGCACTGGGGCTGTAGGACTTGGCGACACTGGGAGAGGCTTGGTGTCCCAGAGATGGGTGAAAGAAGGAGCTGGAGCCTTATTTCCTTGCACAGCGGTAGGCAGGGAGGAAACGTGGGAAGCTGGGAAAGGGATATGTCACTTAGAACCTGGGGCACCTCAGGAGGAGTAGAGGGACCAGCTGAGTCTGAACTTGAGTGCGGCTGCGTGCGGGAAGCCCATGGGAGCCCCCTTCCCCACGTGCTGTGGTCCCCACTGGCCTGCCTGCTTCAGGAGGCCCCTCCACTGAACCCTCCCCTCAGAGCTGAGTGTTGCATGCAGATTAACAAATGCAATCCCCACAGCCACCTAGAGAGGTTTTCAGGGGGTGGAACTGAGGTACCAGAGGTTAAGCAGCTTGCCCAAGGATATGGGGCTGGTGAGTAGTGGTATTTGGATTTGAACCCAGGCATCCAAATCCAGAATCCATACTGTTCTCCTTAATCTCTGTGGCTTCGCTCCTGTGCCCTCCCTGAATACTCAGACCCCATCCGAGCCCCATCCAGAGCCTGGTTTCCACCCCAGCCTCGGGGGAGGACCCAGTTATCCAGTCCCTCCGGGGTCCTCTTAGCTACTCTGCCGGCCAGCGCCCTTCCCCTTCTCAACCAGTGCCCCGGCCCTGCTTCACTATGTTCCTCTGGGCTTGTCCCGGCAGGAGGCTACAGCGGACCAGCAACCCCCAGTCTGAGACATGGGATGGAATAGGCCCAGGCTTGGGGTGGACGAGGGCGAGAGGCCCCACTGAGGAGTGGCGGGGCTGGTGTATACCTTGGCAGGGGGACAGCAAAGCGGGAGGCCCTTGGAGGGCAGGCAGCAGGAGGAGGAAGGGGCGAGGGGCCCTGACCAGAGACAGCCTGGGCTCTCCCTCTCCTTGGCTGGCCTGTGGAGAGCTCTGCTCATACCCACTTGGAACACGCCTCCCCCCACTCTCCCCCTGCTAGACCAGTTCGCCTGAACTTCCCGCTGCACTTGCTGCCTCCGCCTCCCCCTTGGTGCTCCTGTAGCCTCTGCAGCTGGCTGCTGTCCCTGTCCCCCACCCTAACCACTCGCCCTTCACTGCTGGTCCCAAAGGACACTCTTCGGTGACACTTGGCCCTGTGAGCCTTCCTGGCTTCTAGAAGAACACTGCTTTTGCCTTCTGACACTCCGGTTTCCTGGTTTCCTGTGCTGCCCCAGCTATGCCTTCTCAGCCTGCTCTGCACACTCCCTTGACTGTGGATGTGTGCTGACTTGTGGCACGACCTGGCTCCGCCCGGCTGCTTCCCTGGGCCCACTCTCACCCCCTGCATCACTGCTAGCCCACACCAAAGCCTCCCAATCTCCTGCCCAGAGCTCCCTGCTTCTGAATACCCAGTGTCACCCTCTCTGCACCCCATCAGCCTTTCTCCTGGGCCCTCCTCCCCAAGGCCGAACCGGAAGGAGGCCTGCTCTCTTTGAGTCTTCTCTGGAAGGCCCTTCGCCCCAGCGCCCAAATCCTGCCTCCTCAGCTCCTCAGCTCCTCTCAGGCCGGAGCCTCCCTCCACCCCAGCTCCCCCTCAGGGGGCCCTGCCGGGGCTCCTCCTTCCAGTAGTCCCTCATCTCCATCGCCTCCACACAGCAGCCACGGCGCTCTTTTGAAGCACAAATCTGACCCAGAGCCTTCCGTGGCTCCCCAGTTTCCTACAGGTGAAGTCTTGTGAGCTTTCGCACGGCCCCTGCCCGCCTCTGTGACCGCATCAGCTCTTAGCTCCCTAGTGGAGCGAGCCCACCATGATCGCCCCTCCCGACCCTTCCCTGCTGTCCTCCCGGCTCGGCCTAGGTCACCGTCTGGGGGAGTCCTCTGTGGACATCTCCGTGAGGAGCCACACCATGACCCCTTTTCAGCAGTGCTGTCTCCCCCTAAGCAAGCAGCCCTCAGGGCCAGAGGTCCCGGGACACCCTGGGCCCAATCGCTGGCGTGGGGTAGGTGGGGTGGGGACGCCGCGGGGCTGTAGGGGTCCGAGGTGGCGTAGGGGGGCGTCCGAGGCGGCGCGGGGCGGGGGCCTTGGCCGCGGCGGTGGAAAGAGGTGGTGAGGCCCCGCCC